TGGCTATTAGATCTGAAAGCCCGCATTGCACCTTTTTCCCTTAAACCGGTTCCCAAAGTGAGTTTTTCTGCAAGGTTTTTAACGAGGCAACAATAAAATTTGATAACTTAGATTTGAAGACTGATTTCAAACTGGAACCGATGATCGTTTGCTTCAGGTCAACATTATCCGATCCCTCACGAGTTCAATCTCGAATACTGGGGGCCATTACCCTCGGATTAAGGTCTTTAGCAAGGGAAGAAGAAAACTTAATGTGCTAAAAGCTAAGGCTTGGCGGTTAGGATTCATTGTAAGGGCCAAATGGTCGTATGAACCGTGCCCACATAGTCCGTTCAAGCCATAGCACAAGTTTTATCCGCTTTCAATCATATACCTTGCATACCAAGAAATGAAAGAAATTTCCACTTCCTTTAAACTTTGTCATTTCGTGTTTTGTTTCTTTGATCCCGGATCCTAAAAGCCTACAAGCGACCGCTATTCGGGGACTATTGAGCATGCTGGCGACCCCTACTCGGGGACTATCGAGCCTACGGGGTACCCCTACTCGGGGATTGTTGCCCGATGAAAGCTCGGGCGGCACGGACTGCGGAATCCCGGAGGAACCAACCCTATTTGGTGGTGCCCAAATATAAAAGGTTACGGCCACCCTAAAAACGGCTCGGAGACGTTCGAAATTCGAAACCAGAAAGTGAGGCCCTTACGAAAATTCGAAACCTACTAAAAGGTTATCATCGACAAAAAATGCCGTCTAAAAACACTTAAGCATCCTAAAACCCCCGATCTCACCAAGGGATCGAAGCCACAAGCAAACAAAGTTGTGCCAAAGTCAGGCTTCTTTCGAACCTCCAAAAGTCGAATGCCCCAGAACTACATCTAATACTATGCTAAGGCATTAAAAACAATACACGAATAAAAATTGCAAGAAGATGTTGGAAAAGTAGAGACATGTTATAGCCAAAAAAGAGAAAAAAATACATTCCAAAATATATTTACAAGGGCCCGACAAAACGGCCTCGGGATAAATAAAAAAATATATATACATAAGAAAATCTGGAAAAAAAATACTAAAACACTTACGCCTGGTCTTCACCGGGGCCCGACTCATCGCCAGAACCGTCGGAGCCCCCAGAGCCCTCGGAACCTTTGGGACACTCAGGCTCGTATAGTTCCTTTGCCTCGGCCTCGATCCTCCTGGCTTCTTCAACCTCGGTCGATAGGTCAAAACCTCGGGCATGAATCTTTTCGAGGGTCTCTCTCTGGGACAGCCGCTTTATGTATTCAGTCTTTGTCTTTAGGCAGGTCTCGATTGCCTCCACATCGGCCTTATATTGAGCCAACATTTCCTCGGCATCAGCAGAAGTTGTGTCCAATTTGGCCCCCAGTGTCGTATATTCTCTTCCGAGAGCATCCCGTTTCGCCAGCCAAGCTCAGTTGTGCCCGGAGATTGTCGTTCAAACTAGACCACTTGTCGGCTTTGTAATTCGCCATCCGAAGTTGGTTCTCAACCGACGGCAACTCCACCTTTTGCAGTTTCCTTCTCCGAGGCCAGGTGATCTATCCTGCCCTTCCACACTTCGATTTAGGCCTTGACCTCGTCCATTTCAACTCGCAACTGGTCGATCAGTTCAATCTTTGATCGGACCTGCGAAGTTGTGTTGTTAGTCACCACGACTAGCTGCTCATTTTTAGCTTCAAAGACCTTTACCTTCTCAACCAGGTCGGCATGTTCACGGTTCAGGGTCGAGGCTTCCTTTTAAGCTTTTTCCAGCTCGGCCTCGAGAATTGGGAGGTCTTTAAGGGCTTCGTCCTGTTGCTCGCTAAGAGCCATGTACATGTCCTTCTTCCGGACCTGCTCTTTGATCTCGAACTCGAGTTGGCTTATTTCCAAGCGGTACGAGAGGAAGATTTCATGTTGAAGCACTGATGCCTGTAAAACGGTGAAATTAGTAAGGGACATCAAAGGAAAACCTAAGTGGGATCCATAAAGGGGTACGAAAGTGTTAGCTCCTAACCCGGTTCAGCGCCTGCTGCACCTCGTTGAAGAGATTTGTTGTGCCCACCTCGTTCATCTTTGCCTGGTCCTTCTCGGTCACCAGGCATCGGAGGTAGCTGGCTACACCCTCCGGGGCAGACAGGACCCGGGCTTTCTCCGGGACTTTGAGAATAACTGTTCTCTTGCGCTCGGGGTCCATGCTCGGCGTGGTTGCTTCACAAATCTTGGGCTCAAACTCGGTCCGCCAGTTGCTGAGGGCACATTCTTCTTCGGGATCTCCAGGTGACCCAACCTGAAAAAATCCTCCAATGTGGACTACATGCCGTCGAAAAAAGAGTTGAGGGGATCATCTAAACGCTGTACTCCCTCACTTGACTTTTCTTTGCCCGCTTGGGCCTCTTTGAGCATGGACTCGGTATAGGAGGGCGTCTCGATGATGTCGATCACACTGGTCGCCTCCTTCAGAACAGGATTGGCTTCCTAGGATGTCGCATCCTCCATCTCCCCCTCGGTTTCCCGAGTCGGAAGGGGATTAGCCTCGTGGCCCCCTTTCTCGGTCGTCGCCTAGTCCCCCTGTAGGGGTCGATCCATGGGCAATGAAGATGTCGTCTTCTTCGGGCTCATCCCTGAGCCGGTAGAGAAAGTCAGGGTCTGGTACCCTGGACTTGGTATTTTTCTTGGGCTTCCGAACCCGGGTGGCCGCCCTGTCTTTCCTCTTTGCCTCGGGATCTGGGGAACCCAAGGACTTTCTTTTTCCTCTTCTTCTCCTCCTCCACAGCAGTCCCGGGCTGTCCCGAAATGGAGGGCTCGGCGGGTAAGGACGAATCCTCGTCCCCGTCCGCCGGCCTAAGTTCGGTGGTCTTAGGCAGCCCGATAAGAAAGAGAAAAGGTTAGCATTGTGTAAGTTGGGGACGTGGTAGTAACTATACAGGGAAGAACCTCACCATGCTAACGGGCCTCCCATTTTCCCTTTGAAAGTTTGCGCCATGTGCGCTCGGAGTATGGCATCTGCCTACAGATCCCTTCGATCCACTCCTCGAACCGGAGGATCACATCAGGAACTCGGGCAACAGCTGCACGGCCGTAAATACAGGCAGTAAGAGAAAGAATGAAAAGAAGTTAATATTTAAGGAAGATAACACTTACGAGATCCACTTCTCGGGGAACGACAGGAACTTGAGAGGGATCAGGTCTTCGGTATTCACTCGAACAAACCTCTCATACCAGCCTCGGTCTCGATCATCGTCGATGCTTGAGAAGGGGGCCTTGCTTGCTCGGCGAATGAGCTTGATTAGTTGCCCTGTGAAAATTTGGGGACTGTACAGACGGAGTAGGTGGTCGAGGGTGAACCGAGGAGATTCAGTATTGTTCACAAAATGACGTAAGAGGATCACCATCCTCTTGAAGGACAGGTGTATTTGTCCGAGACACACCTCGTACCTCTTACAGAAAGCAACAACTATGGGGTCCACATGGGCGAACGTGAAGGGATAAGTGTAAATACTCAGGTGCCCTTTCACATGAGTAGTAATGTCATCATTGGGCCCGGGGATGACCACATTATTACCCTCCCATTTACAGTCGACTCGGACTACGCGTAGGGTTTTTTCGGTTACGGAGCATATGTACCCCAATGCTCCCTCGCCTCGGTCTTGCTGGACGGAGGCTTTCTTGACCTTGAAGTCATCCCCGATAGAGCAATCCCCGGGTATGAAGATCTTCATGGGGGCTCCCCAACCACTTCGAGAACGGCCACCTCGGCATCTGCGGCTGGGTAGGAAGATGAAGGAACGACCTGTTGAGGCACTGGCTTAAGTGTTTTAGCCATTATAATCTGGAAAATAGAGGTCTTAGGAAAATATGAAGGTTCAAAGAAGAAGTATGAAGATGAAGATATGAATGCTCAATGAACAATGTACAAAGATCTGAAGAACTTAAAAGTTGTTAGAATGTTTGAAGGAAAAGTCTAGAAACGGAAAGTGGAAGAAGTGAAGAGGGTTGAAGCTTTTATAGGGAGAAACGCAATCAGTACGTGATGTTTCAAATTCGAAGACAGCCAGCCGATGGCCAATACGTGCCGGAAGTCAGAATGACGCGACTAATGGGACGTTTCAATTTACCCGTCATCTCGGTTATGGTGTATGGGGGAAGAAACCGGGGTTTATCTATTCGTTTCCCATCGTACCAGCAAACCCACTCTCTGGAAAACGAAGGGACTTTCTGTATGCGAGTAAAATCGGGGGTAATGCATATTCTGATTTTCCGAAGGCAAAGACGGAAGAAAGACACAGACACACGAGGTTGAAATCGAGACTGGAAGCCTTTTCATGAAAGGTGAACGATGTGCTCATCATCGGGCGTGATAAAACATTCTCCCCGGACCCAAAACGGGTTCTGAGACTTCGGAAAATACAACAAACGGTTGCACACGACAGATAGAGTGCCGTGATATTCGCGAAAGAGTGTCGATCCATCATTTTCTTGTCCTTTTTGCAATACAAGAAAGACTGCTGCCTAATATTTTTTCCATGTCACATATCACAAGATTCATATATTAGCATGCAAATACATTATTATATCAATAATACCGAACAAAACGATTTTCTTTTAACAATTAACAACACGCATATTCTTGTAAGCTCTAGCAAAACTTAGGGTAGAAACTTCATCCCAAGGAGGGAACAGAAGCTGCACATTCCAACACTACTTTGCCATATTCGCAAATCTCCATTTGGCTGACAATCTCAATAAGCTTTCGCACACACCAATTCACTTTCTTTTATCACATCCACATGCCCACTTTATACTGCTCTAGGATTATATTGCTTCGTATAAGAATAAGAACCACAAATTCGGTGTAATCCCACGATAGTGAGTAAGCATCCTTATTCCTACTAGAAAAAGTATTACCAGTAGAAGTTCGGCTCAAAACTACTTGGTCCCGAATTTAACATTTATTTTTTGTCCTCATTTTATCTTAAATACTACGATAACTAACATGATACGATTGAAGACGCATAAAACAAGTAAAAATCATGACAATAATGAGTAGCTTTAGAACAAAACCAAATATGTCAAGTTAGTACTACTATTATACTACCTTATTTACAAAATCGGATTTTTTCACCCATCGTTTAGCAAAATGACGTAACCTCTTCAACATGTAGTAACAGTTTATACGACGACGTTTATCTAGTCTAAAGGAAAATGAAGCATTCCATAGAAACAAGAGGATTTTCAAGAGACTCGCCGGGCTCCGGCGAAACATCTTCTTTGGGCTGCTCTGCTCTACTAGTACATCCCTCATTCTCGACGTTCCTTGCCGGCGATTGACCACCGAGTTTCTCTTCTTCACGCGCCGCCGGACTTCTGTACCTCACATTCCGACGTTGTTCCACCGGTCCACGTGTAGCCGGAGACTTTGACCGCCGAACCCCATTGTCTACAGGACCTCTTCGGGTCCCATTTGGGGGACCCACATTGCGCCGTTGTGCCGTCATTCCCCTCCCTTGAACTCCCCTTGACGAAGCCGGCGACCTCCTTTTTTCCGGCGACGGCGCCGATCTTCCAGGCTGAGACCGGAAGCTTCTCTCTCTAACTCCGGTGATCTCGCCGGAGTTTTGTCTCTTTCTATAAACCCTAATGGGTGACCTCTGGGTTACTTCCCCGTCTTCCTCTCTCTTCTCCGTCGCCGTCGCCGTTGTAGAATAGCTCTCAGTGAAGCTACACATCTCAGAAGGCTCTTCCGAAACATCAGGTTTAATCACAGCCGTAGATTCGAACTTCTTATCAACACAGGGTTTAACGACAACCGTTGATTCAAACTTCCTTTCATCACTGGTAGGTTTAACGACAGCCGTTGATTCAATCTTGACTTGTGAAAAGTCAGCTTCTTTGTCGTTGACTAGTGGTACTTTTGGATGGTGGTGGGGTTTGGGAATGGGTGTTTCAGAAAGAACTTCTTTCACAGTTTCTTCCTCCAACGGTGGAGGTTGCGGTGGAGCTCTGTCGTTACTGGCGGAACGCGGCGGCGGGTTGCGGTGGTGTTTCTTGGAGGAGCTAAAACAGCAGCCCATTTTGGTACACTGAAATGGACACTTCAGTGGTAGAAGTTGAATAAAGGCATAGCGGTGTGGTGTGGTCTAGTTTTGAGAGAAGCATGCCAAATATAGAGGCAAAAAATGGTCCCTGTTACTTTCACTTTTCCAGTTTCCTGCTCAAATATTACTTTTTGAGTTTTTCTTATCGATTCTTGAAATTAACAAAAGTTGCATTTACTAATAATATCTTTAATAAATAATGTTAAATTGTTAAGTGTTTCAAAATGAAAATAGTAAGTATAGTTTAGGACAAAGAGAAGTTGACTAAGCGACTCTTTCAATGAAGTCACATTATTCTTGTGCGACTTCATTATTAGAAGTTGCTTACTGATTAATGATTTCGTTAAAGTTAATCAGCTGCTCAACGGCTATAAATAATTGAAGAATTAGCTTAAATAGCCTTGGCCAGAAAAAATAAACAATAATTCGACCGGCTATTTGTATAAAGATCCTTAAATAATTCTCTTGTATTTAAAAATAAAAAACAACAACAAACACAATATAATCTCACAAATGGGGTTTGAGGAGGGTCCTTACTCCTGCCTTGTGAGAATACAGATCGTTTCCATTAAACCTTCGGCACTTCGAAAAATATTTATTCAGTTAAGACTGCTTATACAATAACACTTCACTATTTTCACAATACAGCTATGGTCAAAAAATTTAGAACCAAAATAACACAGAGTATAATGTAAAGAAAATTCTTTACTTTTTGGTAGGGTGTATAAGAATAGTGCGGAATAAGGTGTATTAGTAATGCATGGGTTAGTAATGCAAGCATTAGTTATGCAGATATTATTTCTTATCTATTGTTTGGTGTGGTGTATTAAAAATTATACTATGCATTGCAGAATTTTTAAGAAAAATAGTTGTTTACAAAAATGCCCTTCATATTCTCTAGCTTTAAGGGACTTTAAGGACAATTTTATCTTTAACCATACTAACGCATGCATTAATAGTCTTGGTATTACTAATGTCATGGTTTTCTATGCATTACTTATACATAGGATAATATCAAGTATGATGTATAACTACTATATGTATTAATTATACACAAGTTGAAAAAATATACCAAACAATATATTAGTAATGCATAAAGCTAATGCTTGCATTATTTTTTCTAATATCTCCTACCAAACGACCCTTGGTCCATTGTATTGTCTGAGGCAGGGGCCTGTGAAGAGTACATTGTGTGGGGCGGATGTTGTCAAAGTATTGCTTTGTTGTTTATTGAAGTATGTGGTGCTTGGTTTGAATGGAGAGAAAGTTTTTGTCAAAGGGAGCAAAAGATTTTGTTGCGTAACTGTGACGATGGGAAATTCAGATTCAGAAGCGGGTGGTATAGGATTCTTTGAACATGTGTTGTGTAAGTACCATAAAGAAAGAGGAAAAAAAAAAGAGAGAGAGAAGTATTTAGTCGGAAATGATCTTTCTTTTCCATAGGTTTCATGTGCACCATAATTTGAGCCTAAATTCGCCGCCCCTAATGGGAATGCTTCTGGCTTTACATTTTGTTAAGCTTTCTTCGTATAGTAAATTTACCTTCAAAATAATGACAATACCGGAATTCATTTCACTGTTTCACCATTGGATTCTTCTTCATAAGCCTAGTAGTAAAATATTCGTGAAATTTTTAGCTACCTACCACATATTTTCCGGGTTTCATTTATTGAGTGCTGGTTAAAGCAACAAAGGTTAAAGTCCGTAAAGTTTTCAATTAAAAAAGTGCAAAAGTAGGTAATCATTGTAGGAAATATTATAAACATAGCTCCATCATAGTAAATAAACATTGCTTTTAGGAATATTGAATAATTAAACTTTTGGACTGATTTGAATGCTAGATTATGAGGGGTCCCCCAATTGGTTTATTTTTTGAGTGATTAATTAGAGCCTAAAACAGCGGTGGTTCACACATACTGTAACGTATAATTTGATGACCACAAAAGCAATAAAAAGTTTTCTCAAAGCATTATCTCACGAGGATCATCTGTCCCTCCTTTGGGATATACTACAAGGTCCACAATTCCCCACACTGTTCACCGCCTAAAGCATTTATGCTTTTTTTTTGAATGCCCATTCCAACATTCCATTTGCCAACTCCTCAATTCAATTGGGCTCCATTGACAACCACAAAACAAAATTAACATAAAAAACAAACAAATAAATGATTGAAGCGCCAAAAGGATTGAATTGGCCAAATGAAGAAAAAGAGAGATTGGAAATGGATTGCAAAAACATGACACTTTGACAAGAGATGTTAACATACGTATATTTTATTGGCAATTATAAATTTCCACATCAATTATTTCGTCCATAAGAACTCAGGTGCTAGCAGTAAACTTGTCCCTAAATCGTTCCTAGCATGGAAATCACGTTTATTCAGGAATGACAAGACAAATTTATCTACACAAACTACCAAATAGGACATGCATGATTCAAGGCCCAAAAAAATAAGAAATCTTCTTTGTTTGAAAAAATCGAGCACCACCGACAAATAGAACTGTAGCCAAATCCAGAAAGTTTCTATAGATAAGAGATTTTATCTTTTCTGTCCTCTGTTTTAAAAGGCAAAATTGGGACTCGTTCGGGGCTCGCCCCGGGGTGGAACACTCGTAAAATGCCCCTGAGCTTATGTGTGGAGTTTAGTTCCGTGAAACTTACGCATCAGCCATCGGGGCTTACGCCCCGGACACGCTCAACGCCCAGCTTACTGGGCTCGCCTAATAGAACTTTATGCAATTCTATGTAACTAACCTTGTATATTCTCAAATTTGCTTAATAAATCATTGACTATTCAAAATTACTTTTTTTCTTAATCATAAATCATTAAGTTGAGAGTATTTTATGTCATAATTAAAATAAAAAATAGTGTATGTTATCCACTAAGACTGCTATGATAGTTAATTTTAAATAAATCTTTCATTTAAAATGTATTTATTTATTAACTTTTGTTATGTCTTTTCTATATAATAGTCCATAATTTTTTATAATTATTTTTCTAAATATTTTTTTTCACATTTACGAGATACAATACTTATTTAATAGTTCAATATTAGCTAGTAATAATTAGTTATCATGGTATTGTATGGTAAATTATGTGTCACTTTATTAACTTATCGAAACTTAAAAATAAATGACGCTAGAGAATCATATTTAAATGATGAATTATGTTTTTATATAAATTCTCTTTCAATTAAAAAGCATATTAAGTAAAAGGAGTATTTTAAGAAAAATATCCAATTACAATATCGAAATTCTTTCAAGATTCATTACTCCTTAAGAGATACATATAAGATTTCGTATCGAATACATTACTTTTGATGTTTGAGTTGTAACGACATTGCAGCTAATTTGCATATTATGATATATGTCATACTTTTCGTATTATTCATAGTTGAATTATAATTTATAAATATTTTAAATAGATTATTTATTATAATTTTGTGATTTTGATGTAATTTTTATAATTATTTTTTATTTTATACTATCTTAAAGTTCTTGAAATCAGTAAAATTTAAAGATTCGTGGGACTTACACCCCACGTCTCAGGGCTTACGCCTCGCCTCGTCAGAGATAAAACGCCTCGCCTCACGCTCCCGCCTTTTAAAACATAATCCTGTCAAGCTTTCTGATACTTATAATTGACAATGTAAAATCAATATTTGCTGCCACTTTCAATGCCTCAAGACTTCCAAGGGTATTGCAAACAACAACAACTCGGTGTAATGCCACAAGTAGAGTCTGGGAGGGTAATTTGAACACATACCCTACTCCTACCTTGAGAAGGTAGAGAGGTTGTTTCCAATAGACTTCAAGGGTACTGCAATTGAAAGAATAATTACACTAGGTTAATGTACAACTGCACGAGATTATTTGACGTTATAGCAGCTTACACGAGGCAAATGTTACAGCCCATCAGACTCAGAATACCTACATCTTTTTTAGCTCTTCTTTCCCTTTGAGGAAACATGACTAAAGGAAACAAGAGTCAAATGGCTACCTAAGCGTTTCAATCTCAAAAAATCTTGTGTGAGCATCAAATTTGCATCCGTGCAAAGAGATGCAATATATCATCTGAAGATAAGAAGCTACAACGAGGATGCTGCACGATCAGATTCTATCATGGATTTAATATAGAATTCCCCAGCCTTGTACGAGGACCTAACCATGGGGCCAGAAGCCACATATCGGAATCCCTGCAAAAACACAGGAACATATTAACAGTATTCAAACATATTGGTGCTGCCTTTGATTTAAAAAAAATACAGTGAAGAAGCAATATTTCAAGCTCCAAATTCAATCATGTCACGACAAAATAAAGCAATTCCAACTACACCTTGCTAGATGATGCCGTTCAGAAGTAAGAAAATTAACCAATCCATTGTGTATTTTGAGCAAGGACACATACGTAATTCTCGGATTATCTGTTACCTGCAAGACTAGTTTAAATATTTGATACCGGAATTGACTCGATTAGTTAATTAGTTGATTTAAACTAAAATTGGAAATCAAATTTATCTCAAGTTATCTAGTGTAAAACGAAACACGTGTTTTGAATTATACCCAATATATCCCTCTTTTTAGTCCAATGAACCAAACATCTGCTTCCTTGTATTATAAATCACGTCGTTATAATCCCGGTATAACTTGTTCACCAACCAGACAACCCCTTAGGACTTCACACATTAAATGAATGGCAATGATCTGGCAAGATCAGACCTTTTCACTCATAAAAATCTTCAAAAGCCAAGAGGCAAATATAATACCTCACTCAATGAATAGAGAGAATCCCATTCACAACTAAAGCCATTGAACCCTCATCGGTGAAAGTATTGAGTAACCATAATGTGCCTCCTCAAAGGAAGGCAAACTCACAGCATGATCCGCAGACGTTCACAGCCCCTTTCAGACCATCCATTCCAACCCCAACTGTCTGGTCTTGGAAGGCATAAACCAATCTTTCTTCCTTTGCATCCCAACTTCGCAGAAGCTATGATGTCTAGCGGCAGGTCAAATATGGTTTTGCCTCATGTAGAAGACCACCTAACCCACCACAACTTTTAACTTAAAGAGATAACATCCAAATACATCCCGTCCCTTCTAATAATTTAATAATCAAGAAATCAGGATATCCCTCTTCCAT